AGTTTTTTACTCCTCTACACGCTCCCGAAGTTTTGCGATTTAATTTGGAAACACCCTGTATATATAAATATTTTATTTATATATATAAATATTTTATTTATATATATATAAATATTAGATATATACATTATATGTATATTATTAGGTGTACAAGTATGACTTTACGGATTTTCAATAGACGGCGGTATAGTCATACTGCTGGTATTATTTGAAGTTGGCAATACATGTACTTGAAAGGTATACGCAGCTTTAAAACGTAGTACATTTCATTTGACTAAAGTGTAAAAACAACTATTATTTTTATCGCATTGAAAATGTCAAATTTTGTACCAGAAAAACGCTATTTGCGGGGAGTTTTACTTCATTATTTTTTTCTAAAGAAAAATGCAGCTGAAAGTCATCGTTTGCGTGTGGAAGCTTACAAAAAACATGCTTCATCGGTAAGCATGTATGAAAAATGGTTTAAACGATTCAGAAGCAATGATTTTGATTTGGATGATAAAGAGCATGGAAAGTCTCTTATATGAAGAAATAAAAAATTGGCTTGATAACATCCAGACTTCTACCAGCGTGGAATCCGTTTATTGCCTAAAAGATGAGCCAAGGTTGTCGCTTCCGATGGGGCATATTTTGAATGAAGTAAGAATGATTTTTATATTATGTCTAATCAATGCGTTTTTTTTATCAAAAAATCCGTAAAGTCATACTTGTACACCTAATATTTATTTATATAATTATATACTTCCATTTATAAATAATCGATATAATGCATTTTATATACTGTGTATCAAATAATATTTTATATATAAGATAGATTCAAATATTCTTTATATTTTCTGATGTAATATATTTATTAGAGTTAATTAGTTACAAGTACAAATACTGTAACACAAAATATAAATATTGAAGATATTATTTTCAAATATGTGATATATGTGAGAATAGTATGTTGAAAATATTATTCTCACACGTCTTCTAAATCTGATGTAAATTTAATTTATTTGTAACTAGTTTTCCTTCATCAAGGAACAAATCTTAGAAGCTCAACAAATGAAATAAATAAAAGTTAGAAATGAATAGATACAATTAAATTTCCTGTCGTATGAGATTTATAATTTATTTTTATATGGGTAAAGGAACAATTATTTATCATAGAATGAAAACTTATATTATAAATTTCGAGCTTTACAAATACACAAAAGTTAATTTCAAATACAAAGGTACATGAATTTGTACATAGTTGCATTTATTTTTCTATACTTAATATTCATTGTAAAACATGTTCAATATTAATTATACATTATAAGACTTTATTATTTAATATAAAAACAAATAATCTTAATAAAACTTGGTATGTTATTTATCTAATCCTTCCCTCCTGAAGTACACTTACAGTCAAGTAGACAATCTACTCAAACAGAATATAATTTTTCTTTCTAAAACACACACACATGTATATGTGTGTGTATAAATTTTGTAAATTCAATAATATTTAAAGTATATATTTAGTCCATATTAGGGCTCGCTATTATACGTTTAAACGAAAATACGTTTATACGTATAATTAGCATATCCATTTATTAGAATCGTTTTTCCGAATATTTTCACTTTTTTAATATAAATGTTTATCCCTTTATTAAGGAGTGTGACAAATTGAGAAAATGCAAAAAATTCGATTTTTAATTTTATTAAAAAACGTTAAAATATTAGAAGATGTTTTTCATAGATGGATATGTTAAATATACATGTAAATGTATTTTCGTTTAAATGTATAATAAAACACGTATATTCGGAAAAATGTTTCTTTTATAAACGGATATGCTAATTAAACATATAAACACGTTTTTTTGAAACCGAATATAAACGGATAAACGTTTTACGTTTACATCTTCGAAAAACGGAATAAAATTAGAGCCCTAGTCCATATATAAGTTATTTCTTATTCTTTTTCATCATTAATATTTAAATAGGACAAAACTTGTATAACAAATAATTCATATTTCTTAACAATATAAATAAAAGGACATTTATGATATCATAATACGTCAAAATACTAAAATTATAATTATTCAAAATTCTTTGATAAATTAAGATTATAATTATGTATCATTAAAAATAGCTTTCATAAATTGAGATTATACATATAAACATGTCAAGTAAAGACAATGTACATCACACGAATTCTATGACCATCCCATAAGACAACATATAATGTATAATCTTTCTTATTTTTTATAACCATAAATATTGATATTTTCCACGTCTCTTTGGTAATCTTATATATTGTTATACTTTTATCTGAATATGTATGTTGTATACATATACAATGGCACATATACACATAGATTTTTTATATAAAACAGCCTAAATATAAATTATATATAATATACATATAAGTTAGAAAAGATTTTATATATCGTTACACTTTTTATAAATGTGTGAGCTGCAGTTAAATATGTCTTTAACATAATATTTGTTTGGTTGTTTGGTATATTGTTTCTACGTTCAAAAGATTAGAAAAGTACATATATTTAACATATAGATATTCATAGACAATTGAGTTATATTAATTGCAAAATGCTCTGTATGCAAATACATGATGTAATTTAATATGTAGGATATGCTTCAGGAATGGATGTAACGTTGGAGAATGATAACTCCTGTGAAGTATGTCCCACATATATTAAGTTGTTATAAGATATTAATACTGGTTATCATGCCTTAACTATTTCGTAATACCGTATAAATATCATACGCCAAATACAATATTTGCACACAAATTTATTTCTTTATTCAATAGGACTAGTCCTGATCCTAGAGTTTCATCGATTTCACACTTTCTCAATATTATGAGACTGACACAGACTTTTATCACATTCATTTTTCACGAAAAGGAAATTCCTTATATCACACCAATGTATACTAAGGACACATCACGATCTGCGTAGATCGAGTTTTCTCTTTTCACATAAAATATCTTCACGAATCTATGAAGATTAAAACTTATTTAACAAATGCGCCATATATAGATCAGATTATAAGTGTTATTCGAAGCATTTGAATGTTGGACTAAGTTAACGCTGGCCCCAGAGAGATATAGTAATCAATAGATGTTTTGTACTAAAAACTGGGATATGCATGCAGGCTTTTTTATAATATACAAATTTCCTTAGAATAAATCTATGTGTAGAAGAATATAAATAAAAAAACGCAAGAGAAACGAATGATATTGAGGAATACTCGTTTGTTTGAATATTATGGCTGCGGTCCACTTGACGCTACAAATGCTTCAAAGCATTCTTTGATTAGTCAATTCGTAAAATTCTTTGTTCTGATTGGTCGTTCAAACGCTTCGAAGCGTTTGTAGCATCAAGTGGATCGCAGCCTATATAAAGGTAAAGTATGCTTATCCCGTAAATAAAAATAATATATAAAATCTGAGACCGCGAATAGATCCTAACAACAAATTAGAAGTACGCATTACAATTATATATTATATAAAAATCGCTATATTAGAATAAATCGCTAGCTGCACAGGTTTATTTATCAGCTTAATTACATGAATAATTGTCAATACTGATAATTAGAATATTAGCTTTTAATCCAATTACAATTAAATTAAAAGAAAACAAGCCTCGTTGAATGGTGTTCCAAAATTCACGAATCAAAATATTACAGCAAGAAAATTTTCGAAAAAAAAAAATAAATTAAAAAACACTTGCCAGTTTTCGTTCCGAATAGTAATTTTTAAGATATAAAAGTTTAAAACTGATCAATACAAACAAGCAACCGTTTGACTATAATCTGTAATTAGCCAGTTTTAAGCCTTTATATCTCAAGAACTACTACGAAAAATGATAATACTTTTTTAACTTATTCTTTTCAAAAATTTTCTTGCTATGGTATTTTGATTTCCGAATTTCAGGACATCCTATATTTTTCGATAAAGCAAAAAATGAAGATGAATAATTGGAAAATTTACGAGGCCAGAGCAATCTTATTCCATGAATGGATACCCGCATTATAATGTAATAATAATACAATAAACTATTGTGTGCAGCGTATACAATGCATATTGTATACGCAATTTCGCTAATGAATTAATTTGTACGAACTGTCATAATTGTGGCAAAATTGGCATTTATACACAGAACATAAGCAAATAGTTTTGCTTTGCTTATAAAAAATATACTACTTTGTTTATTCTTATATATCTTCTGGCTTATCATGGCAGATATCTTTCCCCAGATATAAATAACTCCGCAAATTTTTTCAGTAGTTTGTGTTATCTGTGATTATTTGGAAATCTATTCGGTTCATTCTAGTGTACGTTTCTTTAAAAATAATTTTAATCTTGTTGGATAATCTGTCATTACGCCAGTTGCTCCCAGATTAAATGCTCTTTCGAATTCTTCATCTTTATTCAAGACCCAAAAATAGACCTATAAAGAGATATAAGCCAATTAAAAATCAATCAGATGATCAAATATATGTCAATTATAATTGTATATACTTACATGTATACCTCGTGCTCTTAAATGATTAAATAAACACGGCCTCACTAATAATACATTAATCGTACGTACTACCAACTTTTCCAATGGTAAAAATGTTGGACTCGGACCTCCTTTTCTTCTAGAATCAAAAGAATTTTTTTTACAAAAAATGTTTTTTCCGTAATTCCATTGTAATAACAAAGACATAAAAGTTTCAATTATATTACCGTAAATAAATTGAAGGTAAGAAAATTTCAAGGTGTGTTTCCTTTAATGGTACGAATGGTAACAAGCCAGTATACATAAGAAGTATCAACATTGCTACTCGTTGCATTGAAAATAGTAAATTTACATTTGGATTCTACAACAAAAATTAAGATTATTAAAAATAGTAAAAAAATTAACAATGCATAAAGGAGGCCATATTTTTCTGGAAAATGGCTTACAGCGAAATTGGCTCTATTTTATAATTTATATATAGTGTTAATTAAAAGTTAATATCTCCCATATCGCAGCTACCACCGAGCTATCCGGACAAAATATAAGAGTCATCAGATGCGGGTAGGCGGGCACGTCATCGTCCGTTTGTCTAGTCCCTGGGTATAAGGATGGTGAGGTGTGATGCTCGTACTCTATCGCATTTCTGGGACGATTTGGAGAGGATAGGGTTGAAAGATCTCTCTGGATCTCCTCCATCCACATCTCCCTCTCCATGAGAACAGATATTCGGCACACAATTAGGGAGAGATATTGCATTATGTTTGTAAGTTTCCGGTGCCTTTCCCCTTTTATGCTGGAGAACGACTATGATGGGAGTTTTAGTGAATAAAAATTCAACACAGCCCCAGAAAGCCGCGTTAATTTCGCGGAACTGGGCCAACTGCTCCCTCAGGAAACGGGGAGATCAGCTGCTCTGCTAGGGGAGAGAGGACGCGATATAATCGAGTGTTTTTGGAAGTTTCTCCCATAAAAAAAATTAATATTGCTATGACCTCCGCAAATAAATCATTCAACTTCTTTAGACAAGTAAAATTTACAAATTCTATGTATTTGGTTATTACTTCTAATAGTCAAACATCCTAAAAATATGAGAATAGAGAAAAAAATAACTTTTTTTTAAATAGAAATATGTTTTAATAATTCGAGTTTTCAATTCCATCCTTCCATCTCCAGTAAAGTGAAGAGAGAAATATTGAAAAAATTTCTAATTAAAATGACGAACATATTCTTATTTATAAATTGGTTTTTGCAAATAAGATATACATCTTAAAATATATTTTATTTATTTTATTTGTAAATATGCAAAAAATCGATTTATAAATAAAGTTTGTCATTTTCAGAAATTTGGTCAACATCTCTTTTTCCACTTTATTGGAAGTGAAAGGATGGAATCGAGGTCAAATTACTTAAAACGGGTTCTCATGAAAAAATGTTACTATTTTTCTAGTCTCACGTTTGTGGTACATTTGATCTATGCAAGAATTAACCAATATATACGATTTAGAAATTTTACCTATTTTTAGAAATTAAACAATTTATTTGCGGAGATTGTAGTAATATTAACTTTTAATTAGCATCACACAAACCATAAAATAGCGAAGTTACAACCCTTCAATTTCGCCGAATGTCATTTTCATAAGAACTATATGGCATTCTTTATATGGAATAGATACTAAGTACTCACACACAGTATTCAAGACGAAAACTTCATAAAATTTCATATAATTTCATGTCCGAAACGACTTAATTTTAAAGATTTAGGGTGTTAAAATTGAAGGAAAATTTTTTTCCAAAAATTTCGAACATATATATATGGTCATATAAAGTTTTCTCTTGAATTTGTGTGAGAAATCACCCTTTAAAAAATCTTTTAGAGTACTTAGTATCCTGTACATGACCTTTTAAATATTAAATATCAGCATTTATAATAGCACAAAAATCTTAGCAATTCAGTTTCAAAATTACTACTATTACTACCATTTTTTATGAAGTATTATTCCAATCCTTAAAAAAAATGTATTAATTTGATCTTTACAGAAGCTTAATAGGTACTAACACATACCATTTTATAACATTTCTGTGTGACTTCATCACTAAAGTTCCCCCAAACTGTATATTCTTCTCTATTGAATTCCTTTATAAGATCGGAAACTTTCGATATGAGCCGATCGTTATTGATCTTAATATCAATGTTAATGGGGATATTGGGGAATGCCTCAAAGACTTCTCGTAACAATGCAAATCGTCGATCCTCTTCCTTCGCCGAACCAACATATTCCACATCTGTTCAACTATAGTTCTTAAATAATTTTGTTCATAAATTCAGTCGTTTCTTAAAATAATAAATAGCAATACCTGGATCAAAATCAATTGGTAAACATTGCTTTAAGAGCGGTAAATCTTTGTAATCCAATTCAGCGATATTCTTATCTATACCAGTACTACGTAAAAGATTCTGATCATGAGAGACTATTACTTCGTCATCTCTTGTAAGGTGACAATCTAATTCCAACATTTGTGTTCCAATAGCCACTGCTCTGCAATTGTAAATAAAGATATTGATTTCACTTAAGTATACAATTGATCAAATATGATATTGGCATAATTAACTCTACTTGTCACAAATATTAATCAGCAGACATGATCAAATAAATACTAAGATAGTCAAGAGAATATTTTACTCTAACGAAAAAGAATTAATTTTATATATATATATATTAAACACATTTTTTTTATTTTTTCTGAATTATACAAATTGAAATTATTTTCTTTTCTTACTTGTATATAAATAAATAAATGACAATATTAGAAATTAATAACTTATATTTAAATAATTTCTCTTATCATTTTATATTACAAATATATATACCATATAAATTTCTATGTATTAAAAATAAGTGTTGAAAGAATTCAAAATACCAATGTAAAAATAAGATCATGAAAATTGATATAAAACAAAAAAAACATTAAATTTTCCCTACTATATTACTTTTAGTTAAGTATTTGAAGTGAAATCACATGTAAACATTTTTACTTCATGCTGCCATGTAATATATATGGTCATTAAATGTCACAGCAATTAGCACAGGTTGATAATATATTTTCGCAGCCTTGAGCGAAGGGGAGTCTTAGGTAAACAATATTTGCACTAACCGTTTGAACGCGCACATCGTGTTTTCATAGCTCTCGCCGGCACCTAAAACGAGATTCACACGTGAGAGTAAATTAACAAGATTCATCACGTCCGCGAATCTGCGGATGGTAAACAAAGGAAGGAACGCAAGGACGACTTACCGCCCCGATGGCTGATGTGCTGACACAAAAACTTCACCTTCTTCTTTTTGTGCAGCAGGGTGGGGTACTTGAATAGTATCACCGAGGTCAGCATGTAGCCGCCGATCAATGTGTACAACAACATCCTTGCTTCCCTTAGTACTCGTGCTATTCGATACACTTATCCACCGTTGAACATAACGGTGCTCTCGGGGTCTCGTGACAAAATGACAGATTACGACAGATGTAATTGATACAAATAAACGGTGGAAGCGGAGCAGACGACGACGGCGCGCAAGTATGTGACCGCCGGCCCTGAATCACGCGCACTCGAGAACGGCGTGCCACGAAAGTGCGCGCGTTCCGCGAGTGCGCTGTTTCATTTTCCCGCGCACCTCGCAATCGGCCAATCAGCTCGCGTTGCTGGTAGTCGCCGCGAAAAACGTCGCTGATGACAGGAACGGTTTCTTTTGATGGCGGTATTCATAGTCGGTTCTGATTTTAAGATTGTCTTAAGTCGCTAATGCGGCCCTCTGATTGGTTCGTGACATCTCAAGACAGAACTTAAGACGGTCTTGAATATAAGAATTGACTACCCATGTAAGTAGCACAGCAGCGCTTGCAAAGCGCGAAAAAAGTGATTATATGGCCGGTATTCAGTAGTCAATTATTTATATCTATAATCTAATTATGTTATAAATCTTGAGTGTTAACAAAAAATTAACTATTTCTGTTAACGAATTAAATAACATAATAATAACCAACAGTAATAATAATAAACAGTAATAAAAATATTATTTTATAAATTAATCACCAATTAAATAATTCGAGAAGCCCCAAGCAGAATAATAAGTCATTATGATATTACCCCGACAGCACACAATATTTACAAAATATTTACAAAATATTTATAAATATTTATAAGATTTATTTTAAATATTTTGTAAATATATATTATTGTGGTCTTAGATTACACAGATCATAAATATTTATTATAAATACGATGAAATATTTATTATGAATGTTATAATAAATACTATGAAAATACTTAATGAGACATTATAATCCAAGTAAAAAATACTTATTAGAAATATTTATTTATATTTATTATAAATATTGCATAAAATATTTAGTCTATATTTTAATAATATTTTGAATAAAGCTTTATATAAAATATGTATGAAGTATCGATATAACATTTCAAAATATAAATATTAATAAATATTTATCATAAATATTCAGTGCTGTCTGGGCAAAATGATGTCAAAATAACTCCAAAATAATCATTAAAAGTCATTTTTCAATCATCCGATTCATTTTAATGTCATTTTAATGTTATCGTGACTTGTTCTGCTTGGGGGCCTTTTTATTATTAATATTATTATACCGCGCGTTCTATTATATCTCGCATCGATGAAACTGTTTGCATAGCTGCAGTATAATAATAATTATATTATATTTTTTGACGCATTTTATCTATATTCATTGATGTTAATTTTTATTTGAATAATTTTCTTTGTATGCTAATTACGAATTATAAATTGAATTAAAACACAAACGTCGCAAACGACGATATTAGTTATAATTCAGTCTCGTTTTCCATACAAACGTGAATTTCTTCCAACTTCTATTCGTTGACATTTTAAGCCATGTCTATCCCCCCCCCCGGCGATTAGATCTTCGATACCGTTATATTTCCTTGAACCCCGGAACATTTTGGTTTAAAGCAAAGTATTTTGCTTGAAAATCAGGCATAATTTTATTCTACCGAACGCGCTGTCGGCGCTGCACTCTTCAGTCTGATTTACTTTCTACTGATTCTACACTCTACGTAACGGACGTAATCCCGTCACGCTCGGCAGCGTTCGGCGAGCCGCACCGAATGCACCTGGCAGACGATTCCGAAAGTTATTCTGGAAAAATGCATTCCTGTCAGCGTCCCTCGCACGGTTGACGCGATGTCCGAATCGAACTCGCCCAAAACAGACACGAGTAGCTCCAGCATCTTGCGACAATTCCGCTTTCAAAAAAGACAAACGAAGGCCATGAACTTGTGTAAGAACTCGCTTATCTTTTTGCTGTTACTTGTCCAGTCTTTTCAATCGATTCACGCGCATAATTGGCGTGCATATCCTTGACAGTCGTATTCGCTCTTCTATGTTTCCGCGAACAGTTTTAATTTATGCGAATGTTTTAATTTAACGATTTAGTATATCAAAATATAATTTTGATTTTTAAACAATTCCCCTTGCGCATTTGAGTCTGGTAAAAATTTTTAAATTCATTATGTTTAAATTCTTAATACTGCAAGTGATATGTAATTTGTGATTGTTCTAATTTTATCTATCATCTTAAGCGAAAGAGACCTATGTGTTTTTTAATTTTTTTCTCTAATTTTAGCGGACGAGGACAGTAATTTGGTGGCTCCTGATATACATATGCGTCGTAAACCTGTAAATCGCATTGAAGATAGTGATAGCGATGTTGGTAGTCCAGTTAAGCTAAGTTCGGACTGTAATGCCAAAGGTAAAGAGAATAAATTAAAGTACCTGACAACTTTGTATCCACAGAATGATGCAACGGTAAGTATTTTCAAATTTTCTAAGCTCTTAGACTTGAAATTTTAATTAATATCTGTAATTACACTGCCTAAATTTTTATATCTCTTTTACTAAATATAGACGAAATCTTTACAAAACTTTAATATCTGAAATTACTTATTTTGAATATTAAAAATATTGAACAGTGTTTATAATACCCAAAATAAATAATTAATCACTTTTCAATATTAAATTTCTATAAAAATGTTTCTTTATTATCTCTCTTTGATATTTGAGATGAAGCTGTCCAGATAATGAGTTGACTCAGTTGATCATAAGTTCTCATTTTGTCGTCATTTTTTGTTAAAATATTTACTATTATCAAAATAATGTCAGCTTGTTACCTGGATGCTTAACTGAACATATTATAACTATATATATTGAATATTAAATAAAAACAAAAAATGATGCGAACAATTTTTTAGCATATACAGGAAGTACTTAAAAGTACCAATTGGAACGTCGAAGAGGCAGAGGAGACACTTAAAAAAAATAGGAAAAGAGGTTTGAAGGCATCTGCAAAAACTAGAAAAATGAAAAGAAGGAAATTAAATGAAGATGAGGATATAGATATCGATTCAGATGAGGGAGATTACAACAAAGACAAAGTATTTAATAGGTATGTTATTTTGCAACGATTTATACTCACAATTAAATTTAAATATGTGATCGCCACATAAACATACGTAATTATTTTACAGTGATGAGGATTCGGATGTAGAGATATCTAATGAGCTCACAGGTGATAAAAAGGCAGTTTTAGAATTTATGCAGAATGCTGTACTTGCGGAACTGCTTCTGATGTCCCAATGTTCTTTAAAGAAAGCCCAAGCCATTATAGATGCAAGGCCATTTGAAGATTGGAGAGACTTAGTGAATAAATTTCAAAATACAAAATATTTAGATACAGAATTATTGAATGCAGCTCAGGTAAACCTGAAAAAAATAACATATGAAATCAATGATATTTTTATCTTCTACAAAATTATTAGAATTCAAGAAAAAGGATTAATTTTCGTTAAATTTAAGATATTTTCATAATTATAACAGATATATATATATATATATCTCGATTGATTTTATTTTAATATGCATAAAAAGGTATTACTATCTACACGTCATGCGGTAGAACTTCTTATGAAAAAATGCCTTCGTTTGTCAATCAACATGGAAAAAGCTATAGCTGCTGGCGCATCATCCATAACACAGCAGCCAAAAGCATTATCGCCAAATTTGACATTAGCTCCGTATCAAATAGTTGGCCTAAATTGGCTTGCTGTTATGCATACACAGAATGTAAATGGTATACTAGCCGACGAAATGGGTTTGGGAAAAACGATACAAGTGATAGCTTTCTTGACATATCTGAAAGAAGCTAATCTTCTTGATGAAAAGGATGGGCCTCATTTAATTGTCGTTCCCAGTTCAACTATGGGTAAATATATTGTTTTCAGACATTTGCTTCATAGAGTTTTTATAATGTGCAAAAATCTTTTCCTAATATAGAAAATTGGATGGATGAGCTAGAAAGATGGTCACCTAGCTTAAAAGTAGTACAGTATTACGGCTCTCAAGAGGAACGGAAAGAGATGCGAATGGGTTGGCGAAATGGTGATCTTGATGACGTCGATATTCTATTAACTACATATAGTTTAATATGTAGTACTCCAGAAGAGCGTAGACTATTTCGCGTTATGCCGTTGAACTATGTAGTCTTTGATGAGGCACATATGCTTAAGAATATGAGCAGTGTTAGATACGAAAATCTTGTCAGAATTAATGTATGTTTAATCATACATTCATATACATTATACAAGATCTGTCCCAAAAGTATCCGACTTCTGCGTATATCTTGGGCATTGTAGAAAACAGGTATTCAATGTATTTAGCGAGTAGCTTAAAGAGTATCCCCACCAAGCGGCACGATCCAATAGATGTTTAATCGGCAATGGTACACAGTTGTGTGAGCGTAATATTTCATGATAACACACCTGTTCATTTAACTTGGGAAATAATCAGAAGTTATACGGGGCTATAACTGGACTGCACTGGGGTTAGCGAAGTTGGACGATGCCGTGTTTAATAAAAAAAAATCCTGAATCAGGTGAGATAAATGAGTAGATGTGTTATTGTGAAATACAACACTCGGAGTTTTCGACGCTTACACAACTGCGTACCGTTGCCGATTGAATTGAACAGCTATGGGCCGTGTCGCTTGATGGGGGCATTCCTCAAAATTCCCCTTAAATATTGAATGACTATTTCCCATAATAGAATCCAAACACAAAGACATGCAAAAGTAGGATATTTTTGGGACAGACTTCATATGTATGAAAATATAAGTTTTCTTGTAACAAAAATCTCGAAATCTGTTTTTTAAAGGCTAAGCGTCGAATTCTATTGACTGGTACACCTCTACAAAATAATTTATTGGAATTAATGTCTTTATTAATATTTGTAATGCCTTCATTGTTTGCTGGGAAACAAGCCGATTTAAAAAGCTTATTCTCTAAAAATCCTGTAAGTCATTAAAATATTATTAAGAATGTATTAATCATTTTATATATAAGTCATTTATTTACAATTTATTTACTCTGAATAAATTTTACAGAAAGCACCGAGTGATAAAAAGAACGGAGAACAGCCGATGTTCGAAAGAGAACAAGTTAAAAATGCAAAAGAAATTATGCGACCGTTTGTTCTTCGACGACTTAAAGTTGAAGTTTTACGCGATTTACCCCATAAGAAAGACGAAATAATACGATGTACATTAATTGAAAAACAGCAAAGTATGTATAACAAATTAGTTGCTCAATTTTCAGCAGAGGCCAGCGAAATTACAGATGTAAATGGTACTGGCATGATGATGCAGTTGAGGAAGCTCGCCAATCATCCCCTTCTCGTACGTGATTATTACGATGAGAATAAACTAAATGTATGTACGCAATCTGTGAAATTTCTTTCTATTGGTATTTTCTTTAATCGGTACGTGATTTATTATGAATTATTAATCATTAGACTATGGCAAGTAGACTGGCGAAAGAACCAGGTTACAAACAGAAAAATCCAGAATACGTCTTTGAAGATCTGATTTGGACATCTGATTACCAAATAAATCAATTAACTCGTATATACAAAAGTATAGCCGGATTCGGTTTGCCCCAAGAACTTATTCCTGAAGCTGGTAAATTAAAAGAACTGGATAAGTTACTACCACAATTGAAAACGGATGGTCACAGGGTACTCATATTTAGCCAATTTACTATGGTATTAGACATACTTGAAGAATATCTAGCTATTAGGGGGCAGACATTTTTAAGGTTTGCTATAATTGATTATTGTTGTGGCTGTATGCTGTCTCAAGTTAATTCTAACGAATTTAATATTGAAATTAGACTAGATGGCAGTACACCTGTGACTGAGAGACAGACTCTTATAAATAAATACACAGAAGATTCAAGTATATTCATTTTTTTATTATCAACAAGAGCTGGAGGTTTAGGGATCAATTTAACTGCTGCCGATACAGTTATATTACACGATATAGATTTTAATCCGTACAATGACAAACAAGCAGAAGATCGATGTCACCGTGTGGGACAAAAGAAGTATGCATAATCACAAAATTTAAGCATATTTTTAAGTCGAGATAAAACTTTTTTATCATTCATTAAAATGAATATATCCAAGATGCTGAATTCTCTTGCAGACCCGTTTCTATCATAAGGTTATTATGCAAAGGCACAATAGAGGAAGGCATGTACGAGATAGCGCAAGAAAAATTACATCTTGAACAACAAATTACTGGAGGTGAAGGTAAGTACATGATGTTTTATCTTGTAATCGTGAAAAAATTAATAAAATGCATTTTGCTTACAGAAAATGAAAATGCGGATAAAAAGTCTGTTCTAAAATTATTGAAGATGACTATAGGCCAAGATGTTCACAATAAATCTTTATCATCGATGAAAAATACCAATAAAGAAACCGACGTTGAAAATGATAAAAATTTGTGAATAAGGGAAATTTTATTCCCATTTGTAATAATTATAATTTTGATATATTCTAATTCAATTGACACTAATTATATTAAATCATTGTCAATACATCACGTATTTTGTAAAGGATCACGTTTTTCGATCAACAATATTCGATCAGAAATACATCACAATTTGTAGATTTTATATTTATGTGCGCTGTGGAATACTTCTTTTTTGTTATTTTATATATCATTAAATCATTCTTTTATTTATCTATGCAATATGCATTTTGTTTTAATTTATATAACATACTTTTAATATATTTTTCAAGATATTAAAATACATCAAAGTATAACATCGAATAAACGAAAAAAATAATACGTGCTTAAAAAATATTCTTTACAATAAGCAAGAATTATTAAATTACATTTTTAAATTTTAATATATAATTGAAAATGTATATATATATATATATACATATTGTACAATAACCATCTTCAACTTCAACATTTAAGGACTGTCTGTAATAAACAGTAAGCTGTAAGAAACTGACTAATTAGTTAAATGGGGAAATAGATTATGATTGATTGATTTCTTACGGCTTATTATACGTTCCATTGCAGACGACCCTTTAATTATTAATTGACACGTCAATGTTCGATTACAAAGAAAAAAAGTAGAAATTGCGTAAGTGAAATAAATATGGCACAGCTTTGTGAAAAATAAAAATAAATATACACAATCACGATCATTTATATAAACATTAATAAACATTATCTTTTAGTTGTATAGAAGACATGAAAAAATTTTATTATATATTACAATTCTTATGATATACTTTGGCTCATTAAAAGCTCTGACATTCCATCTTTAATGACTTTTAAGCTTTCTAAATCAGCGTTTATTGTCGAAATAAGCTGCGCCATACCCTGTTGTTCCATACTTAGGTACTGAAATAAGAAAATATTATTACACACATTATTCGATAAGAATTTTAAACAAAAGCAAATGAACATTTTCTCACCGCTTTAATATCATCCTGTGCTATGGGATCCATTGTATACCTCTCTTGGTTTTGAATATCGATGTGCCGCCTCATTCTGAGCTGAGAGAGCATTTCACTAATTCTTCCTTTATATTGTGTTGGAGCACTGATTTGCGAATGCATTGCTTCAAATCTGCGTGTTAGAACTTCTTCTTCCGGTTGTAAGGATAATCCCACTTTTCGCGTAATCTCCTGCCGTACTAGCACCTTTAAACGGTTAATAGAAAAAATATCACGATTAAAATCAATGAGTAATGCGAGGCGTCGGGTGGCTCAGTCGGGTACTCAGTCCGCGAACTAGCAATCCGTGGATCTGGGTTTGATCCACGTCTCCCATCCATGCCTCACATACGCAAGATTTTTCTTTAAGTTACGCTCCATCTATGAATAAGAGTCTTAATTACGGAGTACAGTTAATCTAAGATTAAGGAGCATAATTGCTACATCAATTACGTACCCGCCTGATCATGGTGATAGAAACCCAGGTGTGCTCGGGTTTCTTCCACCACGTTTCTGATTAAAAGACAAATTTGGTTAAGTATATGTAAGGCTTAAAAGTTAGTTGACGATTTGTTACTGGCCAATATGGCTCAACTTACGGAGCCAAGGATTAATTAAAGAACAAGAAAAATTAATCGCTGCAATACCTGTAGAACCCTGTGTTGAAGTTCCAACAATGTACGCCTATGTTCCTTAAGTCGAGCCTGTGTAGCCGTGTGTTGCCTTTGCAAGCCTTGTATTTTTTCAGCTGCCATATCCAAAAACGCTCTATGCCTAGCAGTTTCCTCTTCTTGACATTTCAGTCTGTGTTTAACTTGCTGAAAGCCAACCATAGGAACTGGAATATACAGCTCTGGGTTAGGATTGTCCAACTGCGCTTGCTTCCATAATCTGGCATCAATAGCGCAAGGTGGATTATCTAGGTACTCTTTCAGCTGTGATGGATCAAGTTTTACCAGCGGAAATATATCTTCCACTCCATTTTGTACTAACTGTTGCTTTTGCATGACTTGCGATAAATATGCGACCAATTCATTGGCAGGAATTTTTCTGTAAGAACCAGTGATTCCCTTTTCCGATACATATACTGTCACTTGACTTTTGTTCTCCCCCGTTGATTTAATATTATCAACGGTTACTGTCAGATTGGGCTTATTTCCCAGCAAACCATTGAGAAATGCTATTAATTGCTGTTTTCCATCCTGTACATCCTTCTCTTTCTTATTAAAGCATAATACTACTAAACCATCGTTGTTGTCAGCATCAGGTATGCGACTGTATCCAATGGCTTTAAATCTGCATAACGAATTTTCCTGAGTAAGGTCTATAGGTGGGGCATTTACGGAGTAATAAGCTTTTCCTGTACCCCATAATGCTTGAATAAGATTCCACCTGGCAATAGTATTATCTCGCTCGTCATTATACAACTGACAATTGAACACAGCATTGTAAAGAGCTTCTGATGCAGTATTTGTAGGTTGCTGTTGCTGTTGCTGTTGTTGTTGCTGCTGAGGCTGCGTCAATCCAGTACCAAATCCAGTGAATCCTGTCCCTGTAGATATATATGTAATATGTTAATAAAAAGTAAGGAAAAAATATTGCAATATCAGACGTCTTAATCTATATGTAAAAAGATTTCGCATTACCCGTCCCAAATCCACCGAATGTACCACTGGTAGTAGCTGGTTTGCTTCCAAATGCACCAAAACCTGATGTACCGAAACCTGTTGAAGGAGTATTTGCAGTGCCGAATCCGCCAAACAAGCTAGGGGCAGCAGTAGTGGTCGCAGTTCCAAATCCACCGAAACCTCCAAAACTTAATGTCGATGTTGTTGTCGCTGTCCCAAAACCACCGAAACCAGTTGTGGAAGCAGGAGTGTTGCCAAATGTCGAAGTTGTACCAAATCCAGTGGTTGTGGAGGAAGCAGGAGTACTACCGAAAGCTGGTGCCGCACCAAAGGCACTGGTTGACGGAGTACCGAATGTAGGTGCAGATCCAAAACCTGTGCTCGGTGCGCTACCAAAACCAGTGGCTGTTGGGGTACCAAATCCGGTGCCAGTACCAAATCCGGTAGTCTGCGTCGACGGTGAGCCAAACAAGCTTGGCGTTGAAGTAGTCGGTGTACTAAACCCAAACGAGGGTGTTCCAAATCCTGGCACTTAAAAATTTGTAACTAGTTAGCATTTTCAACAAAAACTACAAAATAAACACTCTTGTTAAATATATCAACAAATGCTATGTTTCGATATATACTACCTAGTACTGAAAATCTATAATACATATAATATGCGCTATAAATTTTCAGTATTAGTGTAGTATATATCAAACACTGCTTACATCAAGTCATCTTTTTTTGTTTAACATGAAGTTAGGTAAATATTAATTAAAAGGTATTTGCTATTATGACATTTTTCGTTGCTTGTTTTACGAAAATAATTTTAATTTAACGTTTATATTTATATACATTCGATACTGCATGAATACTATATTTAACTGTTTGCAGAGATTATACTGTTTGGATTTCCATATTTAAAAATTCAAAAGTTGATTACAAAACTTGTAATATATAGTCATATAATATAAAATACATAGAACAATACAAGATGGCACTCCTAAGTCAACAGAATGATCTACAGGTAATAGCAACATAAAAATAGCTAAAATTTTGATGCTAGGCAAACTTAAAACTGATAAGTATTTTTTGACGTTATTAAATAGCAATTTAATAGAGAATAATGTACATTAAAAATGTTTACTTTTTAACAGGCCAATTTCTACACACAATTGGTACATAATTCACTGCAGACAGCTACATCTAATTCGATCCTCGGTCATATTAAGTCAGTACATGATCTTTCCACTCAAATTGTAAGCGAATTTGGTACTACAGATATAGCAATTGGGGTAACAATTGTTATAACAATTTATTTCCTGACAGACTAACTTGGCGATGATTTTGATTCAATTATCTTTGTACAGGATGCAACTGCGGAAATAATGATAACGACGCTTGGTAAAATTCCGAATGAAATGTATTATTTGGAAGATACAACTGCCGGTAGGAAAATTGGCGCTTACAGCACCGAGTCGCGCACGATAATGGAACACAGTCATACCACCCTGGCTTCGATCGAAACTGTCAAATCCGACGAATACTCCGAACGTTCGACGTTGCTAATCATTTTGCTAACCACACTCCTAATTATACTATTTATGTGTTGCGTCACAGCGTGTATTATCGCGAGATCCAGGAGCAGGCACGCTTTTCTCGCGAAGAGCGACGTCGAGTGTAGTCCGGATTGCGGAGGTGTAAACCAGCCTCTGCTAGACAAGGCTTCCGACGCGACCACCAGAACTAGCTCAACGAAAAACTGAAGAGGGCCCATTTTTACGTCGAGCGTCTCGAATATTCCTCAACTTCACTGAAGAACCCGACAAAGTACCTCGCTTAACGTATCTCGAGTAACTGTTCTTAACCTCAAAATTGTTATACAAATTGTCGCGAGATATCTACGCACGAAAGCGAGGAACGCGTCCCTACGTCCGATAGAAAGATGAAATCAGAAGGAAGGAGAAAAGGAAGAAGGAGATGTGGATGAGAAACAAACGATTTTGTGACGAGGGGTGGCTTACCAGGTTTAACCGGCGTCGCAGTGGACGCCGGCGTGGTGCCGAACGCGAACGTAGGTGCAGGTGTCGACGTGGACGCTCCGAAGCCGCTTGCGAACGACATAACGACTCCTCCCTATACCGCGACTCGGGTCGAAGACGCTACCGATTGTGACGACGTACCCGCGTCGCAACGTCGCAACGCGTGCGATCAACGATCACAAACCCGCGACGACAGGAGCGAATTCCAATATGGCCGTTCGCACGTGCGATAAGAGCTTGATTCTTCGCAGCTGTACACTTCCGACTTCGTGCACTTTTCAGCTTCTTTCTTTCTCCCTTCAACGTACAACGTACGCCCGTCCTATTTTAGGTGCAGAAGGTGCAACGGGATGCTACAATGGAGAATAGATCTGCGCACGAGCGGAAGATTTAGTGATGCGCAGAAAATCTGCGCGATGCGATGTGCGAAACTTAAATTGTAAGTGATTATAATTGTAAGAATTGACCAATCACAATTAAATATTTTCTTCACATTTAACTGTAATTGATTAATTTTTACAACTACAAGTACTATAACTTTTACAACTACGCTTACGCAATTATAGAATGGGCTTTATCTTTTGAAAAAAAGCTTGTCATGTGCACGTCAAACGAATCCGATCATCGCACTGTTGAATGTAGAAATCATATTTCTACGTAATCTTTATAGAGCGACTTTAATCAAGTTTCGATTAACTCAATTAATCATTAATTATTGACGATTATTTCAATGTGTAGAATGTAACTAAAAATAAAATTTCCAAATATATAATTTATCATTTCTAATCTAATTTTTCCTTTCTATGTTAAGAAATTAGAAAATTATATTTATGTTAATATATAACATATTAGATATATTATAGGACAAGTACAGAGATAATACATATAATCAGCAATTAACTTTGAGTAAAATTTTCAACTATGTAATTTATATTATTTCTAATCTAATTTTTTTTATGTTAAGTAATAAAAAAGTAATAATTTTATTTATGTATAAAATGTAATAAAATAGTACGAATATTGATTGGACGGTCATCAATTAAAATTCATTTCTGCCAATATAGATTAATTTAATTCCAATTTCATTTTTTCTAATTCTAATCCAATTGACACAAACTAAAAATAACATATAACATCAATGTTATAATTTCGTATTCAATAATATAAATGAATAAATGTAATCCAAATAACATACATATTCGAAATCGAAATATAGTATAAGATAGACATATCACGTATTCCTAGTCTGGAAATGTCATCCAGTTTCAACCGGCGGATGCATTGTACAATTTGTTGTTCCTAATTTAGTAATTTTTCTTTCGATTTGTCAAACAACAAAAAATTGATAATTCTGTTTGTATCAACGAAAGATTATTTAATAAATAAGCTGCTGATTAATTTAGTCAGTGATTTAATTCAATTGCATATAAAATTTCTAATTGTAATTAATTCATCGTCCCTAATTTCTAATTTCTCCTTCCGCGTATCGAATAATGAGAAATTCTATTTGTGTTAATGAGAATAACATTTGACAGATCATTCGCCGATTGAGTAATTATTGCAGGTGTTTAGAGTCACTAACTTAATTTGATATTCATACTAAATGTTGTAACAACCGCAATATACAACATATCGAATATACACGTATCTTTTTTGAACACCATCGATTTTCATTCCTTATCGCTGTCCATTTATAATCAAATGAATACGCGCGGAAGAGAAGAAACATTGACGTAAACTCTGGTGATTGCGTTTCAATTTTCTTTATTAAAATCTCAACTCTAGAAACAACGTAGAGATATTATATGAACACTCGCGATCACGCCGATCGTCGTGTCTTGCGTGAGCCACGCGAGCTTCGGATCGAGTAAACAATATATCCCAAGGGTTCAATAATAATAGGTAGAGCCTTCGATTTTTAACGGATTTTATAATTCAAAAACTTAAAAATAAATATCTCCATAATCTAACGTACATATATGTGATACTTTCGTCAACAGTTCGATAAGACTATCATATAATGTATAATGCTAGTACAAGCGCCGTTTGCGCGGCAGTTGATCAAAACGAGTACAGTAAAAAATACTGCGTAAGTGAACGCGCGTGGTATAAGTACCGTAAAATGAGAAATTACATTCTGTTTTAAATATTTCCTATACACGGGGATTTACGACGATAGATTTCACATATCTTCGGTTTGTGTGCCTAAGAGAGAACACGTGACACATAGACAACCGTAATATCCGCGTAAGATACACGTGTCTCAGTACCGTTTTTCTCTCTTTCTTTTCTACTCTTTTTTCTCTTTCTAAGGCGCAGTCAAATCGTATCGAAACATATAAAACAATTCCACACGCTATAAACTAACTTATGCTTTAGTAACACGTGAGAAACGGAAAGACCGTCGTCACGAAATCATGTTTCACAGACATTACAGAGAGTCATTCTCACGTTTGGCGTGTTCCAAGACTCGCATATTATATTCGCATATTGACCGTGTGCACGTTATAGATTTAATACTAGTTTTAGAAGAGAGTTTTGTCGCAAGCGTAGCGCTCGTTTGTGTGTGTATTGCTTTGGCATCATAGTCGGTGCAGTTCGTACATTTCGGCGATGTGCTGCGTGCCTAAAAAAACAAAAGGTCAAATACCATAAATCTCGCGAGCTCGCAAATTAATAATTGCTGATACCAAATCCGTTCGTAAATGATTTGGAAGTCGGTGTAACGTAACATTCTTCTACATCCGTAAAGTATCAAAAACAATCCTGCACGCATCCGATGTGTTCTGTTAAAAACGTTCATCAAAAATTAACAATCGTGCGCCCCGGCTTATGTGCTAAACGGCAACGATAATACTTCACCTCATCAAGACTCCCAAATTATAAACGAACGGCGTGAAAATTCGTAAGCATTTAAATCTCGTTAGCACATTTCGCGTTTATCGACAACTGCGTTAATCCGGATTGGACCAAATCGTAATTCTTTGTCTCATCGAATTTGGGAGTACGCTTCATGAGGTTTACAACGTTTTGATGCTGTACACAATTAACACGACACTTTTCTAACGAGATTTAACTGCAATAACTGAGTCATATGATCGTAAAGATTATTTTAGGCCTAACGTAAATATTGTAAATTGCTTCGTGTAACAAGTACGTGCTCTGTAACAAACGATAAGCATGTTATAAACATCATCCTGAGCCATGTCAAATCCATTTTGCAATTTATAGCCGCAACATATACCGGTTAAATAATTAAATTTTTCTTTAAGTACAACATGTTTATTATATTTATATATATTGTGCGTTTCAAAATATATTTATATTCTCTCTCTCTTCTTTCTTGTTTGGAAAGATAAATATTTTCACAAGAAAATTAGATACCCCGGTATAAGAATTTAATTTCTAGTTCCTTCGTTCTTATTAGAAACCATAAAAGAACCATAATATTGCTGTTAATTGTACCGTTTAGCGAACACGTTTCGTTTACATCCGTTATAATTTTTTATTTTTCTCTTGAAATTCATATTTTTACGAAAAATATCAAGATATATATATATCTGACTGAAACATTAACGGCTTAAAATACTTCGTTATATTTTTCTTCGCGAGTATATAGTTCTTCGTAAAAGAGTTAAAAGTCAAGATATAAAACACTCAAAAGCTCCATCCCTGAAAATGTTATTCCGCGGAAGGGGGGGTAACTTGGTCCATAGGATAAGATTGTATTACGCTAAGGAAATCCGGTTGAATACTTTCTCACAGGTGCTGAAAAATACACCTGATAAAATTTCACAAACATCCAATCTCGGGTATATCTACACAACAGCTAATGGGAATCGGGCTACATATAAAAATACACATATGTCGTTCTGCTAATAAATAATTAATCAATAATATAGTAGATAATTATAGAAAGAAGAACACATTATCATCAAAAAGATAGAACTAATTTTCACAAAACTTTCATGAAACATAGGCCAAATTTAATTATATTTCCTGTTTACATGAATTCGCAGGAAGAGAGTCACTAGCTCACTACACACGATAAAAATTACTACTTCACGTATACTTATTAATCTCGATACTATTTGCATATTTAAATATTTAGCGATATACACTAAAACTACGAAATTGGTGTTTTTACTAAAGCGCTATACAAATTATATAATTAAAAAAAATTCTTTAAACGCGCGTGCGCACGATTTGATGAGCTAAACATTCACATTTACATGACATTAACATTCTATTCGTTAACTTTATTATTGCATTAATAGATTACTTTTTATATTTATTGAGTCTGTAATGAATGAAAGCAACACAACATAATTTATCGTGTGCAAGTTGCGTGAGAAAAATGCATGTGCTATTGTTTTTTAATAACTCAAAATCACGATCCAGTTTCTGGCATTCTATTATTTTTTTAAATTGTGCAGATACAGTCACTTAATATTTCATTGCCTGTGTTATCACTGCATTGCGATGTAGCTATTGTGGATAATCGTGTACTCCGGTCACTTCAACGAGACATTGTCTGAGAGTGCATCGTGAAGAAACACCCAAGTACGTACCCTTCGATACTTACGACAAATAATACCGGAAATATGATTTGATTAAAAGCGAAGCGTTACGATAATCACCGAGATCGATTGAAAAGAACTTTAGGTCCCAAATGTATCGCGCGAATGCATAAGGACGTCCATAGCGGTGTCCTCTGACTTTACTCGTGTGTGAGGAGATTATAAGTACGTCTCTGAAAACTCAACATCAGAAGCGGAAGCGCGGGAGGATTTTGTACAAATGGAAATACCCCCACCGATAGCACTGTCCGATGTTCCCTCGCCGGTTGGATAGTCAGCAATGATGAAGGACTGTTTGGGCTGACTTTGCCTGCAACGACTTGTGCCGGTTCCTTTTAGGGCGTCACGTTCAGCCAGCTTCTGCTTGATGACTAGAATCTTTTCTTCTTTCTGAAATATATAGGCTTGA